GGGCTGATTTCCTTCAGAATGGATAGGTTTGATCTTCTTGCCATCCATGGGACTCTCAAGAGTCTCCTCCAGCACCAGAATTCAAAAGCATCAATTCTTCGGCGATCAGCCTTCTTTATGGTCCAGCTCTCACTTCCATACATCACTACAGGGAAAACCATGGCTTTAACTATACGGACCTTTGTCGCCAAGGTGATGTCTCTGCTTTTTAAGATGCTGTCTAGGTTTGTCATTGCTTTTCTCCCAATTACTAATGTAGCTGAGTCCAAAGTCAGAAAGTTCTTCCTGGTGTTTAGTAAGAATCTCCTTTCTTGTCACTTGAAGCCACTGGTTTGGGTCCTACGCTCCAGAGCAGGAGAAAACAAGCTTGTTCCCTCTTCCATGTAACAGCCCTTGAGATATCTGACATCTAACCACACATTGAAAGCACATTGAAAGCACATTGAAAGCACATGGCTTCCCCCCGAAGAATTCTGCAGAACTGTCAGTGTCACAGGTCCCACATAATGTATTTGTGTGGCCACATCTGAACTTTGGAACTCCCTGACTACAATGGACACTCGGGTTGCAAACGTGATCCGTGTGGGATGCACGTTCGCAGCCTGCAGCATCCGCAACCCACGTCTGCGCACGTGCAGGTTGCAATTCGCCACTTATGCACATGCAGGACTGCTGAAACCCGGAAGTAACCCGTTGCAGTGCTTCTGGGTTTTGGCGGTCCGCAAACCAAAAAAACGCAACCTGAAGCATCTGTAACCCGAGGTATGACTGTATTGAAGTCAGGCCTTCACTGTATTGTTTCTGGTGCCAATGAAAAGCATTTTTGTTTAGGCAAGACTCTCCAGACATGTAGAATATAGGGGCGTGTGTTTTAATCTAGTTTTTATCTAGTCACTGGTTTAAATTATTTTTTGTCACTTGCTTTGATTTTTTTTTGTTCTTAACTGTTTTTTAGTTTGTTTTATAGTTTTTGTAAACTGCTTTGAGGGTTCTTCTTTTTTTACAATCAAGTGGTATATAAATGTTATAAAGTGAAGAGTTTGTTAAGCGTGCTGGGAATTGTAGCGCTGTGAAGGCTAAACTACAGTTCCCAGGATTCCCTGTCAGTTAAAGTGGCACCAATGTGCTTTAAATGTCGGGTGCAATGTGATCACAGGGAGCTTTGCAGGCTTAGTGCCTACTCAAAAGCACCACCGCCAACCTGCTTTGGAAACGTGGCCATGGCGCCTGGCGGAAGTCAGTGGAAGGGGCGGCAGCGGAGAAAGAATGTCTGCAGCCAACCCCAAGCACAGCTTAGTCCTGCCGGCGTAGAGTGGTTGGCTGTCAGGAACAAAACACCCAGTGTCCGTGAAGTTAATTCTTCATTCAAAGAAACAACAAAGCTCATGCCTAGTGGTTACAGCAACCCTTCCCAGTAGGTCTTGCCTCAATGAGGCAGTTGCGGGGACTGAAGGTCCTCGCCTTCCCAGTGCTCTCTACGTCTCCTTTCCCAGGGTATTGCCCCAGCAGCCTGAGTCACCTTCATCTTGTCTCTCTTTGCTCCTTCCTCTTCATACCTCTTCTGGTCCTGGGAGACGAGGACGGAGGGCAGCTGGTTGAAGCAGGAGGGGGGGAGACTCCAAAGCGTCTTCAGCAGCCTTACTCATCTCTGCCTCCTGGCCCATCTCCTCTCCTGCCTCTGATTCTGGACTGCTCTCTGACACAGACTCCTCCTGCTCACTAAAGCCTGTTGCCTCTTCAGCTTCCAACACCTCCTCCCCATCTTCTCCCTCCGACCACATATCATCGTCCCAACACCAATCCCCTGGCTATGAGCCTTCTTCCCCTGGGGGGTTCCCCAGCTGCTCCCCCAGGGGTTCCCTTGAGGGTTCCCCAACTGGTGCCTCCCACCAGCACAAGACATTGGTGGATTCATCAATATCCCTATGCCAAAGGGAAGGAAGGGAGAGGTCCCAGGTATCCTAGGGGAGAGAAGCCAGAAAACAGGAGCTGTCCATGGTAAACACAGACAGTTGTGGCCCTGAGAAAAGATGAAGAGTCTGCCTGGTTAGCCCTATGAACAATAAAACCAGTGGGCTATATTCAACCTGCTAAGACTCCCCTGGACTCCAGGATGGTTGGCATTCCTGCTCAAGGTAAGGTTCATTTTGAAGAGGAAAGCTATTGATGTCCTGAATTCGAGTGTCTTCAAAGCCCATGACACCTTTGGTAGAGGCTGTTCTCCAACTGGAGCGTTCGCAGGCCAGTGATTCCCAGTTGTCGGTGTTCATACTACATTTTTGTAAAGATTTGCCTTGAGAGAGTCTTTAAAACTCTTTTGTTGACCACCAACATTACACTTTCCATTTTTAAGTTCGGAATAGAGTACAGTGGTACCTCGGGTTACGTACGATTCAGGTTACAGACGCTTCAGGTTACAGACTCAGCTAACCCGGAAATAGTACCTTGGGTTAAGAACTTTGCTTCAGGATGAGAACAGAAATCGTGCTCCGGCAGTGCGGCAGCAGCAGGAGGCCCCATTAGCTAAAGTGGTGCTTCAGGTTAAGAACGGTTTCAGGTTAAGAACGGACCTCCGGAATGAATTAAATATTTAACCCGAGGTACCACTGTAGTTGGGACGAGGGTGGCACTGTGGGTTAAACCACAGAGCCTAGGACTTGCCGATCAGAAGGTCGGCGGTTCAAATCCCTGCGACGGGGTGAGCTCCCGTTGCTCGGTCCCTGCTCCTGTCAACCTAGCAGTTCGAAAGCACGTCAAAGTGCAAGTAGATAAATAGGTACCGCTCCGGCGGGAAGGTAAACCGCGTTTCCGTGCGCTGCTCTGGTTCGCCAGAAGTGGCTTAGTCATGCTGGCCACATGACCCGGAAGCTGTAAGCTGGCTCCCTCGACCAATAAAGCGAGATGAGCGCCGCAACCCCAGAGTCGCCCACGACTGGACCTAATGGTCAGGGGTCCCTTTACCTTTACCTTTACCACTGTAGTTGCTTTGGAAGACAGTAATCAGGCATCCACACAACATGACCAGTCCAACGTAGTTGATGTTGAAGAATCATCACTTCGACACTGGTGATCTTTGCTTCTTCCAATACACTGGCATTAGTTTGCCTGTCTTCCTAAGTGATGTGTAAAATTGTTTGGAGACACCATTGATGGAATCTTTTGAGGAGTTGGAGATGGCGTTTATAAGTAGTCCACGTTTCACAAGCATACAGTAAGGTTAGTAGTACCATAGCTTTGCAAACAAGCATTTTGGTTTCCCTGTGAATGTCCCGGTCCTCAAACACTCTGCACTTCAATTGGGAGAAATCAGGAATTTGCAAGTAGCCTCAACAGCTTTGCTGTGACTCCAGGGTCAGTGGCAGTAAAGTTTCTGAATACCAGCTGCTAGAAACCGCAGGAGATGATCTTGTGCTCAGATCCTGCTTGTGGGTTTTCCACCAGGGAATCTGGTTGGCCCCCGTGGGAACGGGATGCTGGACTAGATGAGCAAAGTGGCCTGATCCTGTTGCTGACCTCTGGCGCGTGCCCAACCTACTGCTTCATCTTTGCGGTTGAAATAAGGACGCCTCGCCTGAGCCGAGGATGCTCAGCTTCTCAAAGGGTTCATTTTCAAACCGGCTTGTTTTCTATTCTTGGCTTCGGTTAAGGAGGAGAATTTATGCTAAACATTAGCTCAGAGCTGGCAGACAAGTCAGAGGGGGGTTTTAACGTGCTTGCGGCGAGGTGGGAACGCTTGTTCTGATGGTATTACTCAAGCAATAAGAAGCACCGCTACACTACAAATCCCCAGGCTACGTTGCAAAGTGACCTGTGGCCATGACACTAAATAAAAACTGCAGGGGAGCTGTGCAAAAGGTAAAGTCCTCATTGATTCTTCATGTGTGGAGAGAGAGAGGAAGGGAGGGCTATTAGGAAACCTGCAGCAGTTTTACGAGAGGGAGAGAAGAAGGAGAGCAACCTTTTGTTCCAGGAAAACCACATTTTATTATTATTATTATTATTATTATTATTATTATTATCATCATCATCATCATCAGTTATGTAATATACACTAGGGGCTGTTGCCCCTGCTCAGATTGCTTACCAACATCCCCTACCCCCTACCCACACCAAACCCCTATCCTTGCCTTGCCAGCTTACCCCTCACTCCTTTTACAACTCACCCAAACTCCCATTCCTTCACAGCTCCTTCTAGCCCTTCCGTATCCTCGGAGCTCCTCAGATACCTGCTTTATTAAAGAACCTGATGTTGTTTAAGATTGCCATTCTAAAACCTGCCTTCTCTTTTGCTCCCCTTCCGTCCCCTGCCTTCATGCAAATGCAGAATCCCCCAATGGGGTTGCGTGATGACAGTCTTGCATTTTTATTTATATAGAAAGATATATACTCAGTGCAGCAATGTGCAGATCTTATGCCTGGCCACATAACTGTTTGCCTCTTGGGCAGCAGCAAACCTTTTCTCGTTTCGTAACTTCAGCAGACTTCTTAACTGAGCCTGAGATTTGATTGCTGACCTCTTATCCTTTGACCATGGACCGCATGCGGCACTCAGATTAATTTTACTGTCCTTTTGACCTGTTGCATAAATGTGTTGTTTCTACTGATTTTTGATGCTAGCTGCCTTAATGACAGAAAAGGCAAGAGGTAAGTAAACCTTTTAGGGGAAGGTGTTGCTGTTTCTTTAATCTGCTTCTGAGCTGCACTGGATTTGAAACTGTTTTTATATTTGAACTTATTTTTAATGGTTTCTTATCTAAAATCCTTTCCATTTCTTTTGCATCTGAAATCGTTGTAACTGATTTTTACTGTTAATTTCTTTAAAGTCGTTGAATCACTTTGAGATCTTTTATAGGAAGTGGAATGAAAGAAGCAGGAGAAAGAAATAAAAATCACGCGCATGTGTATATAAGATGCTTTCAAAAACCCAAAGAACTCTCTGAAAAAAGTCTAGTCCTGGATTTGGTATCAAAAGGGGAGCAAAAGGCCCTTTTGAAGAAAGTGCTATGGCTCAGAGCTACAGCCCCTGCCTTGCATGCAGAAGGTCACTGGTTCAATTCCTGGTATCTCCAGGTAGAACAGGGAATGTTCTACTGAACACTGAGAGTTTATTTTCTATTTAATTATTTTCTGTATTTTATATAGGCAGCCCACACATCCAAATAGGTATCTAATCTAGACTGATGACTAAAAACCTCAATAGAGGCTTCAAACTGGGATTTGATGACTATCTATCAGGGATTCTTTACCTGTCATTTCTGCATTGCAAGATGGCTCTCAGGGTCCCTTCCAACTACACAGTTCTAGGACTATAAGCCTTGCATTCCAACATAGAAAGGGCACTGAGCCCTTGAGATCACGGAGTAGTGGTTGTTCTGGGGACGCGGGTGGCGCTGTGCTCTAAACCACTGAGCCTCTTCAGCTTGCTGATCAGAAAGTAGGCGGTTCGAATCCCCACGACGGAGTGAGCTCCCATTGCTCGGTCCCAGCTCCTGCCAACCTAGCAGTTCGAAAGCACACCAGTGCAATTAGATAAATAGGCACTGCTCTGGCGGGAAGGTAAATGGCGTTTCTGTGCGCTCTGGTTTTTCGTCACAGTGTCCCGTTGCACCAGAAGCAGTTTAGTCCTGCTGGCCACATGACCCGGAAAGCTGTCTGTGGACAAACGCTGGCTCCCTTGGCCTGAAAGCGATATGAGCACCACAACCCCATAGTTGCCTTTGACTGGACTTTACTGTCCAGGGATCCTTTACCTTTACCATTCTAGCCATCTCTTTGAAACCAGAAGGGCTCGCAGAAGCCACTTTCATTATTCATCTGTTAGTACAGCCCAGGACCATAATTCTTCCTTTAGTGGGATGTCATTTAGAGATGGTCCAAAATCTCCAAGGCAGACCTGCACTCGGCAGAGAATGAGACTCTTTAATCTCAGGGTTGTGCATTTGAGCCCCACATTGGGCAAAAGATTTGTGCATCGCAGGGGGTTTGACTAGATGACCCTCGTGGTCCCTTCCAATTCTACAATTCTGTGATTCTCTGATTTTATTTATATCACACCTTTCTCCCAAGCTGGGATTCAAGGCGGCTTACGCTATTTTAAAAACCTCAAATTTAAAATACTATGTAAAGAAAAAAAATTCACTAAAAACAATACTTAAAAGGAAACCTATTTAGAACCAGCATTAAAATACTGATTGCCCTGATAGCAGGCCAGCTGTCAACACTGTCTGCACCCATTATTTATTTTATGTGTTTATAGTTAATACCTTCAGCAAACTTGGCAACCTTCCTACTAACCCCTAACTCTCAATCATTTGCAAACAAGTTAAAAGCCACATGCCCGTTATGAGAGGGAGGCAAAAAACATGCGCTTCAAGTGACTCCCATGCTAAATCAGTTTTAATTCCAAAATGATGGTGGCTTTTCATGTCTTTGGGCGATCAACCCGTGCTTTGCAGATTTAAAATGAAGGGGGGGGGGACACTGTGAAATGCTGTGACTCTTTGCTTTCACTTTGAGCCATTTTCATGTACACCTGGCACCTGCTAAAGCGTTTTCCAGATTGCTGCAGGCATTTTAAGGGCACATTCCGGCGAAGCCAAGACACTCAAGGCCAGCGAGGTGCGTGATCTGGTGAGACTTCCAAGGGCCAGATAGAGGGGCCTTGGGGGCCACATTCAGTCCCTGGACCCAAGTTTCACCCTACCCCACCCCCAAAATAAAGGTTCGAGTTGTGCCCTTCCCTCGAAGCAGCAGTGGCGTTTGCCTCCTAGGTGGGTCATAAGGAAAGGGTTAAATGTGTGTGAAGATGTTTGGCCAGTGGGAACCCGAGGGGAGGAGTTAGAGTTGGAGTTGTGTGGAAGTCAGTTGAGAGTTGGGAGTTGGAGAAGGAAGAGGGAGGATAAGTCTGGGGGTTGGTCGAGTTGTGTGGTGAGAGAGTGAGAGGAACTTGAAATATACTCAGAGTCGCGAAGTGATTTCATGCTCTTTATTCAGCTCATAGTGGTGAGGAGGAATGAATGCAAGTCCCCTCAAAGTATCTGCTTTATATACATTATTTACACAATGGGCTGCACATGATTGGCTAATTCTGGAATTCTACTGTAAGCCAATCAGGTTGTGGATTCACTTATATCTGGAGCATGATTGGGTGGTTCCTGCCAACCAATCATACTGCTGCATTGTTCTAGGACCAATCAGACTGTTGCATTCTGAATCCTATTGTTCTAGGACCAATCAGACTGCTGCAATTTGGATCCTATTGTTCTAGGACCAATCAGACTGCTGCAGTTTGGATCCTATTCAACTCAGTACATAACAGAACTGTTAGGTGGAGTCAGATAGATAGTTGGGATAATCAGTTTGAAGTTGTTAGGTCAGTGTAGAAACTAAGATTAAGAAACTGACAAGAAAAATTAACTGAAACCTTAAACTTGTTCGTGCTTATAAAAATAAACTTGATTATTTGTTAACGTTAACAACTGTCTGGACTCCGTGTGTACCTGAGGGAAACAGGTTGGTGGCAGCGGGGAAGCAATCACAGTGGTGGCACAGGGATCAATAGACCGTCAAACATCCGGGGACCCTGTGTGATCGCCACAAAAGCATACCTGGGAAAGGACGTCACGAATGAACTGGGAGTTTTGCTGTTACCTGAGGCCATCTGTTCCCCAAAGATGACTCTCGGAACATAATCTATTTCTGGGCAAGTGAAAAATGCAGCAAATGGCTCCTCTCTCTCTCTCTCTCTCTCTCTCTCTCTCTCTCTCTCTCTCCTCCCCACCTGGACTGTAAGCACAAGATCCTACGAGGAAGAGAAAAGTGTTCCACTACCTGCGCGAACCTCGTGTGGTCTGACGCAGCAAAATCAGACTGATAAGACAAGTGGCAGAATAGGTTTTTTTGAGGGGAGCAACTGAGGGTCTCTGCAATGTGCATTAGCTGCTTACCAACACACCGGCTGCGCAAGGAGGGCCCACGCTGCAGATTCGTGTGCAGCAGGTGCAGTATTTGCACTCACAAGTGTGAACGAAAATGACCTTTGTCGGGAGACAGACAGGAGAAATGTGTCCCTGTTAATTCTCCTGGACCGCTCAGCCGTTCTCGATACCATTGACCATGGTATCCTTCTGGAGCGGTTGTCTGAGTTAGGGATCGGTGGCACCACTTTGCGGTGGTTCTGGTCCAATTTGGATGCTCATTTCCAGAGGATGATGCTTGAGGAGTGGGGGACGCACTGAGCCTCTTGGGCTTGCCGATCAGAAGGTCAGCGGTTCGAATCCCCACGACGGGGTGAGCTCCTGTTGCTCTGTCCCAGCTCCTGCCAACTTAGCATCTCAGGACTATTTAATTGCTCATCTTCTAACACTGTGTATGCCATCAAATGCCAACAGTGCCCTTCAGCTCTCTATATTGGACAAACAGGCCAAACCTTGCACCAAAGGATAAGGTAAAGGTAAAGGGACCCCTGACCATTAGGTCCAGTCGTGGCCGACTCTGGGGTTGCGGCGCTCATCTTGCTTTATTGGCTGAGGGAGCTGGCATACAGCTTCCAGGTCATGTGGCCAGGATGACTAAGCCGCTTCTGGCGAACCAGAGCAGCGCACGGAAACGCCGTTTACCTTCCCGCCGGAGCGGTACCTATTTATCTACTTGCACTTTGATGTGCTTTCAAAGGATAAATGGACATAAATCTGACATCAGGAATCACAAGACAGAGAAACCAGTAGCAGAACACTTCAATCTCCCAGGACATTGTATACAAGATCTCAAAGTAGCTGTCTTATTACAAAAGAATTTCAGAAATAGACTGGGAAGAGAAGTTGCTGAATTGCAACTTATTACCAAACTTAAAACCATGGGGAGACCTGGTCTGAATAGAGACATTGGATTCTTATCTCATTATACATGATAAAGCTATTTTTAGCCATCTCACCCCTTGCTTTTTCCCATAAGACCAATTGCAGCCATTAACAGTCGTCAACAGGTTTACCACACCTATCAGCCAATCACCCATTCCCACCTCCCTTCTGAGTAATACCCCTCCCCACCCTCTTACTATATATAAGGGTCCGGTGACTTCTGTTTCAGTGTATCTGAAGAAGTGTGCATGCACACGAAAGCTCATATCAATAACTAACTTAGTTGGTCTCTAAGGTGCTACTGGAAGGAATTTTTTTGTTTTGTTTTGTTTTGTTTTTGTTTTATCAGTTCAAAATCACACCGGTACAAGTAGATAAATAGGTACTGCTGCAGCGGGAAGGTAAACACTGTTCCGTGCGCTCTGGTTTCCGTCACAGTGTCCCTGTTAGCAATTTCAATCCTCCGATGCTGCAGATAAGTTTGTTGTAAATCACATGCCTGTCTGAGAAGACTGTTGGAAACAGAAGACAGTCTTATTTCTTCTGCTGTAATGTACTTTCACTTTCACTTGTTCTGTTTGTTCTCTCAAAGCTGGAGAGAATGGACGCCATTATGCTTTTGTCTGTACCTAGTGTGTAAATAAATAGTAGATTAGCTCTACAACATCTCACTGTTCTAGCTGTGTTTTGCCAGAAGCTTAGTGTGCATACAGTGGTACCTCTGGGTGCGAACGGGATCCATTCCGGAGCCCTGTTTGCATCCTGAGTAGAACGTAACATGCGACTGCATGTCTGCGCATGCGCTGGTCATGTTTTGCCACTTCCGCGCATGCGCATGATGTCATTTTGAGTGTCTGCACATGCATGAGCGGCAAAACCCGGAAATAACGCACTCCGTTACTTCTGGGTTGCTACGGAGTGTAACCTGAAAACGCTCACCCTGAAGCATATTTAACCCGCGGTATGACTGTATATCATTATGATGTATGTTGCCAGAAGCGCAGTGGAAGAGAAGGGATATTTTTATCCAACAGTCCCGTTTCGCCAGAAGCGGTTTAGTCCTGCTGGCCACATGACCCAGAAAGCTGTCTCTGGACAAATGCCGGCTCCCTCAGCCTGAAAGCGAGATGAGCGCCGCAACCCCATAAGTCACCTTTGGCTGGACTTAACCGTGCCGGGGTCCTTTACATTTACCTTTTATTGCTTGAGGA